TACGCCACTACGATTCTGAATTGAAGTCGAGTGCGGGGGCGCATCCCTCAGACGGGATTGATTGACGCCAAAAACTTTATCCTTTATCCTTTTATTGAAATATAATGCTTAGGTTTGATTAATTTGAGTTGAGAGTTTTAGCCTTTTTGAATAGAAACTCGGGCCAACCGGGCAAGATGGGCAGTAGCTTTGATAGGAGGATGGAAAAACCTTGCCAGACTTTACCCTGACCATTTTCCTGCCATGCTAGTTTCGACAAGGGCACCCACAATGTATTGGGAGGAAAAAAACTTTCCATCATTTTTTCCGAAAAAAAAAATTGGCCGAATTCATAACACAGTCACATTTCAGAACTACGTTTCAAAACGTGGCGGACGCTTGCTGAATCTCATTGGATTGAATTCGCGATTTACTGATCCCTTCAGACAAAGGATGATGAAAAAGAAAATCCGTTCCGTACGAATGGCTAGCGGTAAGCACTTTGAATATTTAATTATGGGAAGAACATTGCGATTTCCCATCCGAGGTCATCCATCAAAAGATTCCGAAGAACATAAAATAAAGAAAAATTTTGGCGAGGCAGTTACTAGGCTATTCTGCTGCCACAACGTTTTTCACATAGTATCCACAAATCTGAGAGCTAGAATAACTTCCTCTTACGGAATGAAAATCCCAGCCCGGTCAAATCAGTGAGCGGTCATATTGAGGCCATAAAAAGAAGATAGCCCAACTTCTTTAATCAATATGTCACTCACTTTATTCATTTATTTACCTTACCAGTTCCTCAGCACCACTTTACGAAAGTTTTAGAAGAGTAATCAACTGGTTTCAAATGTGGTTGATGTTGTCCGTAACTTACCATCACTATCTGGCTCGGATCAAATTAATTTGACCTTCAGAAGTATACAGAATTCAAGGTCTAGGGTCACTCAACAAGATGATTCCCATGCACTTTATTCAAATGAACCAACAGCATATGAGAATGCCATAAAGTATTTCGTAGAAACAAAACCAACCTGCAATAAAGTCGAGCTGGTTGATTTCCTGTCCGGTACCTTTTGATTTTCAATCTTTTGTTCTATGATCAAGGTCTTTCATGGATATCCTCAGTAGAATTCAACCATGCTACTTGCTCCTTGTGAGAAATCTTAAAATTAGACTTGTTACCAGCATGCAAGGTGCTTTGTTAGAGAAAAAAGTGAAATTCATTACAAAAATGAACCTTCTGCCCAAAACACCGTTACTGAACGCTGAACAAACTAAATGTACTACTGTAACCCTCTAAACTCTATACCTTCTCTTTATAATCGTTCAGATTCCCATGTGGGACTCATAGATAAACTTTTTCTGAACTACCCCTTACAACAAGAGCGTTTGATTACTTATTAATTTGTTTCGAGCATATTTATGTGCGATGTAAACCTAATTTTTTGCACCGCCGCTTTTAATCCTTAAAAATAAGCCACAGTCCAGAAAGGTTACCGGGTTCAATGGGAACTTATCAGAGTCACAATGAATCCTAGTATTTAAGTACTCCCCAGAAGTGGTCATGTTCTTCTTCAAGCTTTTCTTTGGCGTTTATCTGACTTAGAAGTGGATCGCAGCAGTAAATATAATACATAATAATACATTATAAGGATAATAAAAATTATGACCAATTATAATAGTAATAACACCAACAAACTACACTATATAATACATTCCCATCAACTCCGGATTAAGCACGCTTCTGTATTTGCCTAGTTCTGCAATGAATGATTATACTGATGTAGTAAACATGTATCGGAGATGCTACGAAGCTTTTGTGAAGGTTAACTAAACTATTAGTAGGACCGACTTAGCTTGGTTTGGAAGCTAATCGTCCATCACATTGAATACATGTTTATAACTTAACCAAAAGCCACCGCGTATTGATATCTTGTGATGCAGTCCCCCTAGCCTTTTTGTTTATTACCTGGATCCCGTTCTTCTACAGTTTACCTTCGTGCGAAACAGGCATTATATATAGAAACTCCTAATTCCTAATAAACACTGCATGGACACATGATAGTTGTATGAGTCACATGAGAAAGTTTTAAGAGGGTTTCGGTCAAGAAGACCTTGAAGAAGGATTCCTAAAGCTTGCGGAACATGAAGGTCATGCATGTGAGATGACAAGAAGGTACACATTGGTACAACTATAACTACGCGAATACGAACTTTGTTCTTAAAGGCAACTTCACTATAAAAATGGTTTCTGCGATTTCCGCATATGGTGAATTTGAGACCCCTCTTATACCATATCTGGAGCTATCATGTCGAAAAACGGCCTAGCTAGGGCGTTATAAAGGCTCAAAGATTGTCTCGCGTGTATCCTCGGACGGGTTCACCGGCATTGTAAAGGCTGCACCGATCTCGAGGGAGCCCATGTAGAAGTTCAAACAACTTGTCATGACCCATAGAGACAGTGAAAGACAGTTCTGTACAGTTCTGGCTTGATGTAGTTAGCTCTTTGCGCAATTGCAATAACTAAAATCTCGTCCAAATATCCCCTCCATGTAATTTCCGTCATATCAATCTTATCCNATCTCTATTTTCCCTACTTTTGAGGAGCCATATTTTTCTCGAAATCGGCGAATTCACTCGCTCTCTTCTCCACCGATGAACTATTCCCAATCTATACTTCCGCTTCTCGAATAAAAACGGGTACCTCAAAATTATCGTGAACTGTGCCTGTAAGCAAGCGTGCCCCCTTGAGTTCTGTCGGTAGAAAAATTGCATAGGAATAAAGACTTAAAACCATCCCAATCTAAACAACCAATGATCGGTTCCCCTTACTCTCCTCACTGATCAAGAAATAAAAGGAAGCTCCCCTGTTAGGTAGTTCATAAACTTAACTAATTTCAAGCTCATGCTTGTCTAAAATAGCCAACTTGTAAGTAGTCAATCTCCCTTCCTTGCAATCGTGACTGAGATCTTCAAGTCAGACCATAGTCTTTTCTCAGCGTTTCGGATTACACGTCCAAGACTTTTTCTGATTTTTTTTTGGTTTCTTTTTTCCAACAACAAAGTACACAAACACCTTGAACGATGTATTCGTTTTGACATGCTATCAGCTTTCCCTTCATTCCGGGTGCGGTTGAACTCAACGGCAAAAGATGATGTCACCTACTTTTGAGGATGTTTACGGAGCAATGAAGTCAATTTTGAAACCTCGCCAAAAGTTGTGACCGATTTTTACCCGAGAATATTGAGCAACCCATACAGAGCAAGTAGATACCATAAGAATCTGAAGAAAAAGAGTTGAGAATGGGTCCGAAAAACTGACTCATTGACGAAGGAGCCCTGCTGGCGATTAAGCACCCCCCAGATGGGTAGTAGAAAACCTTAACATGGGAATTGAGATCGCACGGAAAAAGGGGGTCTTGTTATCGATATAAATTCACTACTATTCGTTTCTATTGCAAATTGTTCCTCAAATACTCCACTCAATAGATCATGGAGCTGAAAAAAAGCACCGCTGTAGTTTACAACGGCGTGTTTTTCGGTGGACTCCAAAAAATGCATCTTAGACCAACTCCTTTCTACAAAGTGAGAAGTAAAGCTAACAAGGGGCAACCGTCAAAATGATAAACATCGCTTTGAATCATCCAAACAATCTGCACATCCTTTCCCTAACAAAGCAAATTTGTCATGAACACTCCGAGAAATCGATACGGTCCAGCTGCTTTCTCTTGCCTCTTCAAAAAAGTATGGTATCACCTTATTTGTGTTGTATCTCGATTCATCCAGCAGTACAGAAAAATTGGCAGTAACCGAATGGAGGGGCTAAATTCTACAGGGGCCGGCTTGAAACTATAAATCACACGCCTTCAACTCTTAAGTAAACAAGCCAACTGTTGTTCCCAAGGAGATCCCTAAAAACTCCTACAAAACGGAAACCTGAGGACCATTCGTATCTCTTCAGTGGGAATGAGATCACAGCCCAGTGCAACACATCCTGTCACAACCGCAGTGGCTCCAACCCCGCTTAGCCCTCAGATTACCTGGCGAAGCTGTCACTTTTGGACCTGACATAAACTACTTTTTGTAAGATTTTAACTTGATGACGCCAGATTAATTGAGAGGACATCAAGCCTCCAAAAACGGCACATGAAAGACTCGGATAACCAGGAGTATACAAAGGGTTGATACCTAACTAATAATCCAATTTTAACCTCATTTGCAAATGATGCTATCTTCATATCTGCTCTAATCGTCTATTGTTTCCAGATAATTCCTTCCAGTACTGATGTGATGAGCCGTTTCAAACAATCAGATACGATCTCGATTCAGAAAATTTCGTAAAACGGTGTAAATACGTGCTGACTTCTATTCTGTGAATAAACACCTTTAATTAGTCAGACTTTCTCCACATTTGCTGTATAGATTTATCCGGAACATAGAGAAAATAAAGTTAGAAAAAAGGTGAAGAAACGAGGGCAAAGTCGACAATCAAGCTTTCTAGGGTATGAAGAACTATCGGCTAACCTTCAACATCACGTTTCCCAGCAGTATCTATCTTTCTCAATAATTTCATCTTTGCAAGGCCGACTGCCTCCCGTTTTACATCTTCCTGATTCTTCTTGTTTTCTCGGTTTATGAAAAGGTATGCAAACAATTTTGGCGCTCAACCTATACATCCGTACTCACTCTGCTCAACTCCAAATCGTTACTGTAGAAGTGAACACAACCTACTTAGTCAATCTGCCCGGCGCACTGATGGCGGACATGACGTCGATTTTCATCGGATCACGCTAGTTCTACTATAGTTACCGCCTCTGAGGTGGAAAACTGAGAAATCGTGGCTGTTTCTTGGATAGCTGGAGGAACCACGTCGTTTTTCCAAACGTTTTCAAGAGAACCTTCAAATTTTTAATCAGAAAACGAACAGTACAACATTTATAAACATCCATGTAAAAGAGCACAATCATATCACATACATAACCTAACCTCTTAACTCCTTTGAATCCAACATGTTCCTAACATTCCACGTCTTCCTCCTCCTCCCCTTCATCGCTACTGTCACCTTCCTCGCCAAGAAACATTGATAAAGCATTACGAAGTCTTTCTATGTTCACGTTAAGCTCTTCGGACTCCAACAATCTTTTATTCAACATCAACTTCAAATCGACCATCATCTCTTCCAAAGCAGAAAAATCACTCGAGCTCGGTTTGGGTAACAATATTCGGCAAGCAGTTGAAATCTGCAGATGACAGGAAAATCACTAAGATGCTGAAGAATTCAGAAGAATCAGGCTTTCCAAAACCCACCATTGGCTTCCTCGAAAACCGAAAAGTCTGTTCACTATTGGTTTCCGTGCCTTCTAAAAAAGGTACTCGAACTGTCACAACGACATCATCACTTGAAGGACCCGGCGTCTCTTCTATATACATTGTTCGGTAGGGAGGCTCCTCATTAGGTGATGACAGGCGCTGTCGCTTAGCAGGCAGAGGTTCACTGAAACCTCGTATATCGCATTCATTTCGATGCAACGTGGAAGAAAAGCGTAGCTGCCGCTGCGGGAAGCATCTTGAACTGTCAAGGTAGAACAGAACACTTCATGAGAAATAAGACTACGAGTAAAAATTGCAGCTCAACCGTAAAAATGGGAGAACCACTGAGAATCTCTAGCTCGAAATGTAATCAAAACCTATAAAAAAAAAGAGACAAAACTACCTTTTATCTGGATCAGCAGCGCTTTCCCAGACTTCACGATCCTTTATCAAACTCTCTACAATCGCCAAAACGGTCTCGAACCCCAGCTCATCATCGTCTATCCAATCAAGGAGCACCTAGAAAATAAAAGATACTAGTAAATATTCACGTTTGTACAACAGAACAGTCAAATCTGCGAAGATCTCAAAAAAAAGTAATAATGGAATCAGAAAGCAAAAAAGTTAAGTCCCTGGCATTAAATCATTCATTCAAAACGTCAATTCATCAAACACGTAATCCTCTCAATATCGTTTCATGACCTTCACCCTGTCCCGTCCCGTACTGCCTTTACAATTTACTGTTACCAAAGATCTACATAGTAGTCGCAGTACCGTAGCACACCCTATTTCCTTGTTCTTTGCACCTTGTATAGTTTACGTTTTTTCAACAAGCTACACAATTCACAAAAATTAAGTACTCCTCCCTTTCACCTAAAAGTAAACTAACAATTTGATATGAATTGATAACGGAATGAATAAAAACCTTCTTCAACTAGTACCTTTGCATCAAACTGTATGTCTCGAAATGCTGCCAACACAACATAAACAGAATGGGCAAAAATATTGCTGAAAACCAGTTCAGCTGGACAACAAAAAAACTACTTTCTGTTCAAAGATTGCTACGTATTCACTTGAACTCACCAAAACCTTTCTCTAAGCGCAACTAAGGCTGACACCGTTGCTAGAAAGCGATCGTCACTATTGAGTAGATCCCGCGCTAAATCATCACTGGATGGATAAAGCACTGTCAGGGATTCTAACACGCCGTCTAGCTCCTTGAAGCCATCGTCTGAAAAAAATTATGTTAGATCGAAGGTTTTCTTTACAAATTTCGAAATCAGCCAGTTATCCAATAACGTTTTTCTTGCTGAATCCTATTCCATGACGACTTTTTGACTAAGATTTTGGAGAAAAATCATGGAACCGCTTTCCACTTCGTTTGCATGACAAGCGGCTCCGTAACACCACGGCTATCGAGCCAAAATGCTAAGGTCTAGCAGAATTTTTCCTGATGTTGAACTCAAATTAGTCATTGAATTAGAGTTTACCAAGGTGTGACAAGGAATTGATCTTAACTGACGTTCCAACATCTCCTCAACTCGAAATTGGACTCATTGAAAGATCAATTAATCGGTGTCCAAAAATTCAGAACGTGTTAACCATCCTTCAGTCATCGCAAAAAAACTCCTCTACAAAGGCGTGCTGTAGTATACATTGTTCGGTAGAAAACAGAAATGCTCGCTAACAACATGGTATCAACCCTACGTTGAAATCCTCCATCGACAAGAAAACCACAACAAATTTAAGAAGAAAGGCATTTCGATCACTATCAATACTGAGTCCAGTTCAACCCTTTAGGGTTACCTAACGAATCTAACCTACTATTACCCTACCTCTCCACTTCACTCAACATCTTTGACGACCTTAAAATTTCTTAGAACGAAATGCAATGCAATGATCACCAACCTTCACCTCCATGGAACAGGGCCAAACATATCGTGATAATGCTGAAAAGCCTAGCCTTGTCGATATTTTGATGACAATTTGAAGATGACGCTTGTCGGCGTGACATTACACCACCGAACCATCGTTCATGCTCTAAAATCAGTATACTTGAGATGAAAAATATATTTTTAGGACGCTTCACATTTTGAATTCGATTATAAATCTACAGATATGGTAGCGTAAGGTTACCCACAGAACACAAAATTGAGACCAACTTTCATTGAGCAAATAATAAGTTTCCCTTTGTGAAAAACCCGCCCACTCTATGAGCGCATTAACATCTGTTTACCCTACGTATTGTCTTTGTCACCACGCCATATTAATTTTCTCAACTTTTTTCCTTTATAGATTAATCGTTTCCAAATATCACTTGCCCGGCAGTTCAACCCCCAATTATAAAAAGTTCTCACGACTACGTTATTCACCAGTGCAATCATTCCTACATACCAATTCAGGGCAATCGACTGTGAAAACGAGTGCTTGTCCCAGATTATTGCCTTTCTGAATGGGCTTCATCCTGGCGTCAAAATTTTCAAATATATACGTTTGACAAGGTCTACAACTAGCTCATTTCATTCCTGCCAAGGTCATACTTAGAAGTTGGAGAGACTTTTGAAGTAGTTTTCTCTTTCTAGAAACATTCTAAACTTTTTTAAGAGCTCAGAAATGTATCAGGAACTGTGAAATAATTACCTCTATGAAAAAGCAAAGATGCATACCATTTGAATTCTTTTCCAACCTCTACTTTATAACCACTTCTTCGCTACCTTCTAATGGTAAGTACATAGAAGTAGGTGCAAAACTTACCAAGGATATCCCAGAAGGTCTATTACATGTCATATATACGGTATGCGTAAAAGACCTTCTGCAGTATTCCATTAAACGTTGTCAAGCGCGTCAATTCTATGAAACCTCTGATCAGCAGGAAACTGCACCCTTCCAAAGTTTAACTACGAACTAGGTCGGTGAAAAAATGCCAAAACGAGATATAGAGACGTAAATGTGCGCCAAAACTATTGTGAAAAAAAGCTTTGAACTTCACCGGTAGTTTTAGGAATCCTTCGCATCAACCAAAACATGCCTAAAAACAAGTTGGTCAAATTGATTGGCCCGGGATAGGATTTCCATTCTGAAAGAACCTTAGTGAGCCACGTCTTTTGCTCTGCCTCCATATGGTCATGTACGTATAACAACGATTGATCCTTTGTGAAAACGATACCATCTCTATTTTACTATAAAAACCCTCAGTGTAAAGTGAGGTAAGCACGTCAAATGTACACTGCAGTTTTCCCTGTAAACAATGTCATTATAAGCCTCACGTATTCCGAGTCGTCCTCTTCCCTTTACCAATCAGCCTGCTCCCCTTTCTAATTGGGACACATTGGATTAGCTCGCGGCAGCCGGCTCTGCATCACTTTCCGCAAGTTTCGCAATTTTCGCCCACACCATAGTCTCTTTTTTGAGCAGAGCTTCCACGAAACAATAATCGCTCCACTACGACGGCTGAGATCGATTGATCCCAATGAAGAACTGGCATACACACTCCACAGTGCAACCCGAATGACACTACTGTACTAGAAAAACTCATCAATTCGACTACTACTTCTAACAAAAAAGCGACGCTCAGGATGCCCTTTCACCCAGTTCTCTTACAATATGTGCGAGTGCGACTACCTTACAGACCAACTAATCAACTTCTTCCCTTCCTCTGAAGCAACAAATTAAAACCTCCATTATCCATTAAGTTTACCAACTCCATTTTTCATAAGCAACTACATATTTCCTTACGAATATTGGTCGCGAAAGGAAGTTCTGTATCACTCTTATTGGCATCACATGATTTTATGCTTGATTATGGTACTCACTCTAAGTTGAAATGTTTTGGGAATATAGCCACAGAGGGAATCAGGGGCCCCATGATTGATATTCAGAGCATTACTGCGCCTAATTCGACCAAATCTTTCATCCCTTGCCTGGGTAATTGAACCAGGTTTGTCTCGAGAAGATCGATGACGACACCTGCATACTTTCGCGAATTTCGAGGCAAAAATTAAGACAACTAAGTATTCCCGCAACCATGAATGGAATCCAGCCATAGACCCATCCCGAACTAAATTATTATCTATGAACGACATTCGAACAAAATTGCCTGATTGAATTTTTCCATGACAGTTGATATTCACTCCCTTTGTTCCATTGATGGCAATCACATCCATTTTGCTATGGATTGCGTCAAAAGGCAAGCAAACGAAACAACGTCGCAGACCAGTACGGCTAGAAATCGTCTGGCACAACCGCTTGCACTGAACCAATTTAATCAATAACACTCAAATTAAATGTAACCCACGGCAGACGTCAAAAAACCCTACTCGTTCCCTGGTGGCGCTGTCGTTATTCCGCGCGCTTTTTTTCAACGATAAGTACACTTTCGCGTCATATGAACAACGAAATACATGGCCAAAAACATTAAAACCGGTACTCTTTTGTAAAACCTTCATTATGGCAACCAGCCAAAATTTTCACTACAACGGCCTGCCCCCACCGATGTAAACGTTTCGATGGACTCTAGAAAATCCACTATTAGCATCGAATGGGAAATCCGTGTAATCTATCACCATGAAGTGTGAATGTTCCCCAAAGTGCATTGAAGATCGATGAAGCGTTACAACAATGTTCGGCGAAACATCAACAAGAAACCAGCTGCATTCCCTACTGACGTCGAACCCATGTAAACGCTTGAAAGTGCTCTGTTGTTCAAGAACTTGTAGAACCCATAGATAGTGTTTTGAATTGTTCTCAACGAGTCGTGTGGAAGGTTCTATATTCTAAACCTGCTTCATGCTCTACCGCACTTCTTGTTCTTTGCTTTTTGATCAGAATGAGGTTGAAGTAAGAAGTATATAACATTAAACAATCATCAAAATTTTCTCCTGTTCAAGTTACTGCCCGGATCCATAACCCATTCAAATGCCACAACAACTCTGAAGAAAAATCAAAGCATGTCCGAAAGATCCACCTCGAACAAATCGTTCGTTCCGTCGTTTCGATTACAATACAGGAACCATTTATGTACTCACACTCCCTCACTCCTTTTCCTATCTTCAGCCGGAAAAACCCTGCTAAAAGCCACTCGGATGTTCAGTAGCAGACTGCACTGCTAGCACGCGCCACGAAGTAAACCAAAAAGTAGGCTCAGCAAGGAGTCAAGCCAATGTAAGACGCACTGGAACACAAGAACAGAATGCAAAAAACGCGAAGAAAAAAGTCTTAAGAATAGACAACTGAGTTCGCAATATCACACATTCTACTTATTCTAACTCCGAAACTTCGCGTAATTCTTTGATCTTTTTTTGCTCCAACTCTTAAAAAAATATCGCCAACTAAAAATTGGAACTTGTTCAATATTGCCAGAAAATAGAAACAACTAATTATAAATACTTTCATTTGCAAGGACTGGGGCAAAAACACCTAGGTGGAACCAGATGCCTGGTAAATTCGAAGTCGCGCTTGAAGCTGCAGCTTTCCCCTCTGACCTTCGTTTGCGCACCATCCTTTATTCAAAGAGTAGGCTAACACACTGAAGGGTTCTGCAGTGATTAATACGACCTGTAATTTCTTCAAAGAATAACTTAGTGAGGTGAATGGGATTGGAAGAAGGTGTATGTATGTTGTAGAAGCGTACACTTACACTTCTCAACAGTCGAGTTATTTCATCTTATTCTTTCCTTGTTAGACGTAAGCCTATATATCCCAATGTTATATCTGCTGTGCTTGAAATTTTACCTCAAAACTGCGATGCAATCTGCTGCACTACCGCTTTCCACTCGTTTAAAGTGGTAAACAAGGCAAATGCGAAGAAACCAGAAATCACGGCGTTCCAGTTAATCTTTGAAAAAGAGCTACCTTTCTCGAAATGGTTCAAGTGTCTACGACTGAGCTGCTAATTCCAATCAGCTAATTTGTAGTACTGGCACTATCTTTGGTACCATGACAAAGTCGCTCCTCTAAAAAGTAAGGACTTACACATCAAACCGCCACCCATTGGGAATCGCGTTTACGTGAACCTGCTGCCGAATTAATCCGATTACTCTCTCGAGTTATGCACATATATTTCCGTCAGGCAATATGAATTGACGCGACATACGTAAAAGGAATAAATCTACTACTTGCTAGCAGAATAAATTTACTACAAGTAGCGGATTATTAACAGATTTGCACCAACGGTAAAATACAATCATACCGGAACGCGTCAAAATCAAATATCATAATGCATCTCAAACAAAATCCTGGGAAACGAATCATTCGTTTTTTTTTCAGAAGAGAAACTTTTGGACCCTAGTTAAACATTATTAATTATCCATAGCTACGCTGATGAAATCGTTTTGCCTGCGATTATTCACTACAAACCAGTTCCACGGGACTTAGTGCATGTCAACAAGGCTTCCAAAAACAAAAAATGAAAGTGAGACTGACTGAGCTCTATACACGAACCACACCCTCTTCATAATGCTCATAGCTTTTTCCTTCGAAAAGACAACAAATCACTTTCCTGAAGACAATATGTATAACCTAGGCAAAAAGCACCATTCATTGCCATTCTGTTCTAGATTCAAGGCTACCCCAAAGAAAGCGTCATTACTTGAAGTAGTGAAAAATAGCGATGAAAAGAATAGAAGAGTTCAAACCTTTGAACTGCATCTCTGCTACACGTGAGCCTATTCTTTGCACGATGCGAAGAAGAAACGCCCGTCGTATGCCATCCGCCGGCATCGAACACAACTTGAATGAATGCCATAACCGTTGACATATCGTCTCCAGCGCAAGAAATAATGAGCGCCGGAAGACAGTGTCCTCGACCACTTTGAGATCGTCCAGTAATACCATCATGTGCTCCAGATCTTGGCCGTGTACAGCTGCGCCATCTTGAAGGCGTAGCCTCACGTCCGCAAGAAAAAGTAAGCCACTTTCCGAGCGCATGACATGCGACTGGCACTATCACAATTTAGGACCCCTGAAAGGAACTCAGCAATGTGATCACACTTGACACGTTCCAACAGACGAAACCAAAACATGAAAACATGACAAGACCGATGATCACTAATCGTCTGCCATCTCAAACCAATCAGCACTCTCCTCTTGCTTTTAGATTACAACAAACCAAGTACTCCACCCTACTCTCACCAATCTCAACCATTTCACCATCATATTTTCAAAAAAGTAAAATGAAGTGATGAAAGAAAGAAAATTGGAAGTACTGGTTGCGGACAACCAACGATTCCAACAAAACAATGACACAATGTATTGAAAGATTTATGAAAAAAATATCTAACAAAGAAAACCGAAATCATCGGGAAGCAAAGATAAACATGGAATCAAATCATCATCTACACGTTCAAAGGCCAACTGAAAACAGGGCACAGTAACAATCAACAAAAACAATTAGTGGCGCCGACCATGTCTATCAGAGACAATAGTTGTTAAATCATTATGATCTCGCCTACTCGTCATATTCATCTTCATCCTCCTCTTCGTCATCATCACCATCCTTAAACGAAAACATTGAACAAAAATGTTGATGAAAATGCAAGATAAAGGGCACGTACCTCGCCAATGTCGAATATGTCATCGCCAAGATCTGCTTCACCAGTAAAGAATAGCACCGCACGAGGAATAATATTGTCACGGAGTACTTGCCCGATTTCGAAGTCAGCTCGCATCAGGTCATGAGAATCCTTGAAAAACATGTAGATGTCAATCATACGAAGCAAGAACTCAATCAGAATCACCCTTGTCAGAATGTAGTCAGGAATTAGTACAGCCGTTGCTCAAATATAGCAACAGCTGGTTGCAGACCCGACATTGATCTAGTGCGAGAGCAGATAGAATTCAAAATATCATGCGAATTCAGACCCTGCGCGCACAACAAAAACCGTCTAAACGATCTTTCTGTTTTGCCCTCATTACCTAGGGATTGACCACGATTCTGCATACTGGGCCAACACAACAATCTATGAAGAAATTGTGAAAGTACAAACCGAGGCTAATAACTTCAGATGGTTCGAAACTCACTTCTTCATCATCATCCTCGTTCTTGTGCTCTTCAGTGGGAGGAACGATCGTGTCGAAGAAATTGAAGAAGCTATCAGCCTTTATCTGAACAGAACGTATTCGTAACATGTAGGTGGTATAGGGTTGGGATGAGGTGAAATTTGTTCTCGGCTACAATCTCAGTATTACAAAAAATTACCGTTTTCGTAACAAATTTCCCAGCATTGCTTCCTTTTTTCAGCTTCTTCTTCACAACCTTCTTGGTGATATTCTTGCCCTCATTCCATTGAATAGTGTCCCTAAAAGAAGCCAATTAAAATAACGCCTTATACAACTAGGAAAGTGTACTCACCCAACAGCACGCACAACAGATGGTCCGTCGAAACTGAAGGGGTCTTCTGGATCGGGCTTGATTTCGAGGAAGTACTGCTTCTTTAGAACTGTGTTAGTGAAGAACTCATTGGGGGAGAAATGGAAATAGATGGTAAAACCCTGAAATAAGGCTATCTTGGATCTAATCTTAAAACTTACACCAAGTAAGCAAGTAAGGCGGCAGCGTCAAAATTTCATCAACGATTCAATAAGTACTCAAGACATGAGCGAGCACAATTTTGCACTCCTGACTCTCAGAAGTTGAAGCGCTGATCAATAAGCCGCCTATGTTGTCTGAGGTAATGAACCTAGCACGAAGAATGTGGGAAGCGCTTATGACTCGATGGAAAGTACTTCAATCCACTTACGTGAGGATCAACCTCGATGGTAGTAGTAATATCAGTAAGGTGTTTCAGAATAGGTTCGTCATGCTCCTGGATCATATCCCGGGTCATGTCAGATCCCTTCAAAACGTGAAGCCAGAAGGAAGGCACTCCTTTCGAGCCATCATCAGGTTCGGACTTGTCGTTGAGGGCCTGCAAAAAAATGGATTTTTCTCAATTTCAGTATTTACAAGCATTAGAACCGTAGATCGACACGAAGTAAGGACTGAGGAGCATGATTAGCTTCTCCAGGTACCACGTAAGATTAACTGTAAAGCAGCTACCAGTTCCTACGCATCACGTATGGGTTACCGCGCATCCCTCCAACGAGTTTCAAAGAAGATGAACGAGTTTCAGGAAGAAACCACAAATGGTCCAGGGCAAATACTCAAAAACGGCATTGAAAAAACTATACTCGGCATACCTTAATTTCGTCCTCTTCCAAGCCATGGATGATAGGTAACTTGGACTCCTCATCAGTAGGCTCGTACTCGCCAGCAACAATTTTTCTTCGCTAAAACACCAGTGGTATCCTTACTAAGACTCGTAGGGCAAGAACAAATCAACACACCTGCTCATAAAGCTTGTTGAACTCCGCCTCAAACTCCTTTTCAAGTTGATGAACTCGATCGTAGAATTTTGCCTCCACCTGAAGAAAGTATATACTCTAGCATGTAGCATTTCTACGTAATGAGATACTTACCTCGATGCTATCCAGCTGAACCTTCTTGAGAGCACAAACACGTTTCTTAACTGGCATCGAAATTTTCCCAATGATTTCAGGTATCTCACTGTCAACACCTCCCTCCTTCAGAAGATCCGCAAGATCACGCTTGTCGCCCTCCATTTTATTACCTGAAAGCATTGGAACTTTGAATTAGAAGACCAATAAAGAGGAAATACGTTAGAGAAGCATTAGAGAAGTGGTCAATACTGGCAGCCTAAAAACAACACGCACACACAGAGTTGCGAAATCGATCGGAACTGAACATATGCCTACACAATGCGAGAAACGTCACCTCCATCTTACTTACTCTTAGTTCTCTTCAAAGTAAATTCGATTTGTAAGCAAAAGAAATGAAATGAACGCAATAAGAATGAACAAATCAAGAGGTGATCGTGGAAATGAAATTGCAAATTTGGGAGAGCTACGGGTGCGGACAGAAACCCCGCCCACATAACACGGTAATGAGGTGGCGATCGTTCCGGGAACCTAGCTTGTGTGCTAGGAGACGTCCTTTAATTTTGGCTGTAGTACTACTTTTCGGGACTTCGGATTGACTTCGTGAGGCCCGTGTGGGGGGNGGGGGGTTAGGTTCATTGTAAGAACTCATTAGCAATGATGGGGATTTTATGGATCCCGTAAAACATCCCTCGCCCTCAGCAATCGATCTTCATGCTTTCAGAATGCCTAAGCTGGAACGGAACAAAAGTGAAATTTAATACTTCTTCAAAGTCCAAAATCCAGAAGCGGAACCACAGAATACTACCCACCAAGCTTTTGCCTCCCAATTCGTGCCTACACCACCTGTTAGGAGCTAAATTTTAGAGGAACAGCTACTTCCTCTCTTCGAAATCCCTCCACGGACCCTTTCTTACTGTAGTACTACTGCTTGTTTCTGACTTCTTAATTAGTACTGGTTCATTTTGGTGATCGAGGCTACTGTCCTACATTCTACTATACCAAGATTCGTACATTTTCATTCCCTAATCATTCTCCTTGTCATTTACTTGAAAAAAAGATGATGGAGCACCGGCTAGCCGCAAGCGAAAAATAGGGATCGCATCTGGTCAGGGGAAGGGAGCTAACCGAACACTTTACGATTCTGCTTGTTTGATTGGACCTCTTCAGAGCCTGATTCCATCATGATATTCCGGACCTTCAGGAGGCTCAATGCCATTAACCTCGATTCGTAGTATTGAGTTCCGACCGTCGGCAAACCAGTTCTTCGGTATAGTACACCTAGTCAATCGATTCCCAAACCATGTTAGACTACAGCGGTCGAAATGGAATTGCCTACGTACTATTATTGAATGACATACATTAAATGGAGTAAAGTGATCGGTGCAGGAATCGCATTTTACACTACGAACGCTGTAAAATTACAATATACATCACTTTTGCAACCCGTACAGTTAGTCACAGATCATCCAGGGATACTACAACTTGGCAAAATGCCAGAGTCATGCTGATTGAAGGATTGAAATGAATCAGGAAACGATTCCTGGGGCAGCTACCTCGATGGACTCTCCTGCAGCGCACATCCTTTAGGACATGACGAAAAAATCAGGGAAGACGCGACAGTTTTGATCAAAGGCGTTAAATAGAATACTACTATACTGTAATACTATAATACTGCAAAAAAAATTACAGTATACGGTAACAAAAGGATCCACCAAGGAAAGCAAAGCTCACCTGGTAGTGGTTTTTACGGCTGCTAATCACAAAATGATTATTACCCAAGGCTCATTTTACTCTTGTTGAATTTGCAAGTACTAACAAGTTTGATCCGATCACAACCAAGCTCAACAGGTCATTAACATGATCAAGGAAATCCCCATTAACATGAGTAGCCAGGTCGCCAATCAGATTCTAACTCACATGAACGCTGCGCGTGGCCGCGCGCGCACGTCACATGAACAGTGAACAACGACTGGCGCAGGAAATTCCTGGATTTCTGCTAACTGGACTTCCCAGTCCCACCTAGAACTTATTTCTCTGCACATGACAGTGTACTGCTCGCATACTGCAGTAAAGTACAGGATCTTTGCCTTAAAATCTCTGGACCCTAATCAATCCCGTCTGAAGAACACGCCGCAGCACTCGACTTCGTGTCAGAATCGTAGTGACGTCTGAGTGTGTATATAGACTACACAATTACGCTGGCCAGCTGATGTAAAAGCCAGTGATTTTATCCTCCCAGACAAGTCGGGTACCAACTAATCGACAACATAATGATAAACAGCTGGGAAAACCTGGGTGGGTATTAAACCGGACCGTACATGTGAAGATGCAGCTTTTGAAAATACGCTACCTTCGCTCTCAACGAGAGGGTTCTGAAAACAGAAAGTGCTGATGAAAGAATCGGGGATGGACATCTACAGAAAAAAAACTTCTTACAAACCAGTAATATATGCCATGCTCATGAAAGAACTGAAACGTTGTGGGAGTTCGCCGTGGAGGTAGGTTCTGCATAACAATATGGAGCCAAATTTTCTCACAAGACATCCCAACAAATATACATATACCGGAGCTTTGAAACATGTATCCCCTTCTAAAAATCTATTGTATAAAAATGACATACCTCTCATGACATGCCTCTCGAACACTTTTGAGCATAGTAGGAGCTAAACGTTCACCGCTAAACGAAAACGTACGTTTGAAGGAATCTCTTACATAATACTGCTTCCAATGTCGATCACTCCCACAATTATTTCTTTAAAATTGAACACACTCCATTGTAGGACTCTGTCCCCTCTGCAATCATACTCTGAGCTAGCTGATGGGCGAGGAGCGGCAGCGTCATCCATCCACTAACGCAGAGTATGAATGCAGCTAACAATAAGGAGAGAGTTCTACTACGGAAACCAGTAGGACTTTAGATCGAATAATAATATATATATCGATCGACGCTAACGTCGTCCTCGTTCAGCTTATTATTAATCGAGCGCTTTTTTGAGCAATTCGTCTGTCGCCTCCAGAAGTATAGCTCATTGCAAGCTGCTAATACTGGTTTTTGGCTTAATGGCACGTCTTGTCCCCCCACCTACCCAAAACCCTTTTCCTCGAAAAAATAATTTAAGTACACTGGAGCCATCCTTCGAATCTACTCGCCCAATCGCTGTGACCCCCTTATCGGCTGCCAAAATTAATAACCATCGTCGCAATGTTTGCTATGTGACAAGTGAAGTTTGCAGAAAACCTACAGTGAAGTGTGGATCACTGTACAGTTCTTGAATTATTGGGATTTTAGTGGCTAAAACACTTCTGGTATCCTAAATAGTAGTTTTTTTTTTGAATTTTTCTTCGAAATCCTTTGATTTTTCTACTAAAGGAAAAAGCCCCCACGGCCTTTCTGGTGGGTGTCACGTATTGACTTCATCAAACTTCGCCAACTTCTTCAATGAGCACTATGCCTTTACACTGAGTCCCAGACTTCTATCGACACGCGAATTAGTGTTTCCTATCTCGCAGACCATATTTCTACTAAACGTGGAACCGCGGACGGATCAGTCTCAATAACTTCTTTTAGTCACCGTGCCACCTACTATCGTTTAGTAGTCAGCTGACCAAACGAAAACGCTTCAAAGGATCACACGAACAGTTATGGATATTACCAATTAGTCGTTGCGTTTTCACAGCTGCTGGTCCCTTTGCTCTGTGTATCCTAGCTTGCGCTCAGTAATCGCTTTTCACTAATGTAATGCTACGATCAATACACGGATTTTTTTTAAAACTCAGCGGGGACTACAAAAATGCATGATTTTTTTTGCAGATTATCAGCGCAGCCTTTGGCATAGAGGCAAGCTTTCATGTCAATGAATTTGGTTTATAGAACGCCGCTTGCATAAAGCAATTCGTCCGAATAGGCCAGAATCAGGGACGGACAAATTCTGGTCATTGCACCATGATTGCCCCTCCAATATCATAAAACTTAAACGGAAGCAGTCGCCTACAAACTCGGGAAGATTCCTTAGTGAGGATGGCTTCATTAATGTGCTCATTCCGAAGAACATCTTTTGCGGGGAACAGAGCGGAAAAGTGAAGAAACGTGAAATACAAGGTGAAGCTTCGGACCTGCTCCGTGCGCTGAAATGCTAACTATGCCTGTGGTTCACATAAAATTACATACAGGGTGTCCCAAAATTATTGGCGTCCAAATTCAGAAATTTTTAAGGTAGAAATAATATATCAAATTCACATAACCTGTTATTAATCATATGCATAAGAAGGTTTCCTTGCAATATGCATGGCTACTGATGTGGAACTCCCAATATCTTTCAGTTGGAGGAGGCTCATTCAATGCCACTTGCAATCATTGACGCGCGAGAAGTGGAAGGGCATTATGAAACTCCTTGGGATTTTTGTAATAACCGTATAGGAGGTTATTAAACGATACAGAAAAAAAAAACTTTAATCAAAAGCAAACCAGAAAAGGTAGAAAGGTAGAACGTTCCTGAAGCTAGGAAGATAGGACTATTAAAATGGTCCGCCTGCCAATCGGTNAGCAATGATGGGGATTTTATGGATCCCGTAAAACATCCCTCGCCCTCAGCAATCGATCTTCATGCCTTCAGAATGCCTAAGCTGGAACGGAACAAAAGTGAAATTTAATACTTCTTCAAAGTCCAAAATCCAGAAGCGAACCACAGAACACTACCCACCAAGCTTTTGCCTCCCAATTCGTGTCTACACCACCTGTTAGGAGCTAAATATTAGAGGAACAGCTACTTCCTCTCTTCGAAATCCCTCCATGGACCCATTCTTACGTAGTACTACTGCCTGCTTCTTACTTCTTAATTAGTACTGGTTCAATTTGGTGATCGAGGCGACTGTCCTACATTCTACTATACCAAGATTCGTACATTT